CCCCAGCAGTGCTGCTTGTGACCTTCTACTGATGCCTTTTTGTGGGCAGTGGCCTGTAAATGCTTTAAACCCCTGGCTCTGCAGTAAAACTACAGTGAGTGGTTTTGTGTTCCTGCCTCTCTGTGGTCTTCACAGTTTTTATGCAAAGAAAATTCTGAAACAGTGAATGCTCTTAAATAGGAGAGGTGGATGGAGCCTCGTGACTGGGAAAAGTAGAGATCGCATCACTTGTGAGGAAACCAAAGCTTAGTATGCCAGCAGACTCATCCTGCCTGCTGTGTTTGTGTCCATTCCAGTGTGTTTTTAAGGTAAGCAGCATCCTTCAGAGCAATTTTCAAAGCCACAATGAACTAAGAAACCCTGACAACGCAGCTGAAGGTACATCATGCCCTGTGGGTCTGAGCATGTGCCTTGATAATTGTCTTGTTCCAATGTTTGAGTCAGTTTAATATTAAACTTATTCAAATAGTGAGGTCTCTGCCAGTGAAATGGATTTACATATGTCATTTTTTTCTGCCAGCCCAGAATCCCCTGGGATGCTCTTGTAGTCATGTTACCCCTCTGCCACAGTTTTTCTCATTGTAAACAGCAGCCCTAAGTCAACAGCTTTGATTTAGGGCTGGGCATGGCCAGCAGTGCTCGCTTCTGTGCTGTCACAGATGAGAGCACTGAGTGCTGACCTAGCACAGTGTGACAGAAGCATGAAGACCTTTGCCCCTTATTTGCTTTAGGAGGAATTGGAGGTTCTCTTGAAGCCCCAAATTCACCGTGGGGACCACCTCATCCACAAGATGCTCCAGCTGGAGTCAAGACCAGAGCATTACTCATCCTTAGCCCTGTGAAATTGGAGCAGTTGGGAAATTTCAGCCAGATTGATGTCTTTATTTATGCTGAGTGGTACTTTATACAAGCCTGCTGAAGCAAATCACCATGATTAAATGTCAGAAGCTGGTTTCTTGTAACCTTTGGTGAGAAAACTTTCCTGTCTGGAGGAGTATTTCAAGGATGAAATACTCTCTGGTGCGGTGTGCGAGTTTAAACCCTCTTGAAATAAAATGCCCTCTGAACAGGGTTTAAATACAAGTGAGATGACACACAGACAAGTAGGTGTCTCTTGCCTAAGAAAAACCTCATCTCAGATGGGCAGCTAAGCTGCTTTCATGCTGAAAACCCTTCTTCTGCTCCCCACTGGGGTGGCTAGAAGTATCTCTGATGGTGATCTTCAAAAGAAAGCAACTTTGTGGTTTGTTCTTGGTGGTCCTTGTTGTCCAGAGCAGTTCAGGTCTCTGGTTCTACAGACTTTATCATGCCATGGCTCAACAGCAGCTGCTTGGAGCCTCACCAGCACTACTGAAGCTGCTGTTAGTGCATGGCACCCATAGCATTGCAATGGAGTAAATACAAGGATGAAACCATTTCTGCACTGCTTGGTGGATACACATCTGCATCCACATCAAAGGCAATGATGCGTGCTGGGCTGTGAGTCTCTCTGAAGCATCTATGGGATCACTTGGGATCACCCAGGCTGCAACTTGGGATCCCTGTTTGCGTTGCCCTGGGCTGGGAGCTATAAGGGCATGCTGTCATTAGGATCTTTTGGGAAGTGTGATCAATGAAGTGTCTCTGCTTGTCAACCCTGTCCCACCCAAGAAATGCTGATTTGTGAGGTATTGCTTTGGAATGTCATTATTTTTTCCTCTGCCTTGTTTTTAACCTTAAGTATTAGGACTCTTTGGTGGTTCCTACACCCCCTTCTTCCCTAATGCTGTACAAATATTCTCTAAGTCAGACAGGAATCTCTTTTGTCATTTAACTTTGTGATTGACTGCTAATAAGTTACAATTCCCTGATAACTGGAAATTGTAAATCTACCTTCTCTCATCCTTCATGCAGTCTTCCAGGAATCGAAATCTATATCCTCGAGTACCATAAATCTCCTGTCCTCCATTAGCTGCAAGTAGGAAACACAGACAGCCCAGTTCCTTACCTCTTCTCTGGATCTAAGGAACAAAAGGACTCAAAAGACTGTCTTTACTTTGCAGGTCACACTTAAAATAGCTTTCCTGGTCTCTCCAGGAGATTAATACTTAGCAGAGAGGCACAAAAGTATTGCTGCCTTCTAACAAATTACAAAGGCATGACAGGAGTTGTCTAATGGGGTCATCTTATTTATGGGATTAATGACACATCTGAAGCCAGTTGTCTCATCTGGCAAGAACTGTCTTAACAGAGGACCCAGGGGGTGGCTTACAAAGCCCCCTCAAAGCTGCTACGGTTGAGTTGCAGGAAACAATTACTTTAGGTAGGTCAAAAGTAGGAAACAAGCTATTGGTGACAGTGATCAATAGTTAAATATCATTACTGGAGAACAAGTGCAGATCAGATGGTGCCAGGCTGCTTCCAAGTGCAAGGGTTGGCTAGGGAAGAAAAGACAGACAGAAAGCTGTGATAAACTCTTGTGGGGAAACATCCGTATCAATGATGTGCTGCCTGTCAGCTGCATGTCCTTGTATCCTCCTGCTCCCTCCTCTCCCATGTAATAAGGGTGGAGGGACAACTCCCTTGGTGCTGCAAGGATGGCTGTCCCCATGGCACATCTCCCTGAGCCCACTGCCTTCACAGGTGAATCAGGGACACCTCTGAGTCCATCAGTGGAGGTGTAACTCATCCCTCATCTGCAGGGTTCATCAGTGAATTTAACCAGAAGACAAGGCATGAAGGCAATTAAGCTATTGATTCAAGATTCTGTTGGGAAGAAGCCTGCAATCAGTCTGTGCCAATAAAGCTTCAATAAAGATTGATAAGTTGTTGTCTGTAGTTTTGGTTTAGGCAGGAGCTTGATGGTTTCTGCTATGCAAGTTAACCTGCTTTTGGAGCATTTCATTGGGAGAATTTGGAGCGTGGAGTTTATCAGTTTGTTGGCCCCAGGATTTGTGTGGGGATGCCTGGAATCATTGGGGTAGCGCCTATTGGGGCTGTACGTGTTCAGGTAGCTGCTAAAACATCAGGATCCCAGCACTGTCCTCCATTAATCACTCACAGTTCTGGTCCTTTCATGCAGATTTATACTGAAATGCAATTTTCTGAAGCTGAGCTCTTCATTTGGACTCCATAAAGTTTTCTCATATGTATTCTGATAGCTGAAGAGCAAGCGTGCATTGTCTCTGGATTGGGACTTTTGATGAAATCTTAGTGTGGGGCTTTGTTCCAAATGGAACTGAAGGGGATTTTGTCTAACAGTAACGTGGATTTTGGATTTTCTCTGGGGTGGAAACTCTGCTGTTCAACCAGTGCCAGTGAATAAGCTGTCAGAAGTTCAACACAGTGGATTGCTTTTTTTCTTCCCCCCTGTGTTCGCATGGGTGTACAGCACAGTATTGTAAAGTAAATCCCTGGGCTGCTCCAACTAATGTGCTCCAGTTTCATTGGCATTTGGCCTACTATTTCAGAAAGGAAAATGTCACTTCTGACCTAAATAAGATTTTGCTTCTAAGAGGCTCTGGGGTGAAAACCCGCTTCCAGTTGAAACCTAAAGGCTGTGCTTGTATGGATCAGAGTGGAGTCAGCTCCACTTTTTCAGTGCAACCATGAGCCAATTAAAGGTAATAAGATTCTTAGGACAGTGTAGTTAATAATGAAGGGTGTGCCTCCAAGTTTCAGGTCTGTTCTTAATGAGCCCATTGGAATATGGATGCATTGGGGAACTTCTTGTGTCTGGACTGGGATGGGAAAAGGTTTTCTTCTGGCTTTTCCCATTCAAGTCAGCCAGTGAGCAGATGCTGCTTTTCAACTGAAGGCAGAACCCCAAAATCTGAAAGGTGTAGAATAAGATGTGAGATTGGTCAGAAAACTAAACTTGGGGAGAAGGAAGGATGAAGTTGTCTAATCCTCCCATGTAAGCATGAGATGAAACGCTCTTACCTTTATATGGCATAAATGTCGTTTTATGGACTATCTGTTTAGGACAAATATCTTTGTATGCTTGATATGAGATTCATTTCAGAAACGTGCTGGTGCCGTGGAGGACAGAGATTGAATTTGGATGCTGGGGTCAGCCTTTGTCAGGCTGAGCTGTGGGCCTGGATATTAAAAATGAGCCCTTATTGCTGTGTAACTCCAGGATGGAGAGGAAAAAAGTGAGTTCTAGGAGGGCTTTTCTGAAATGTGGCTTGGGGTGGGTAAGCTTTGGGACTGTTGGGTTCCTGTTCTCTCTTATTAACCTCAGTCTGTGAAGTTGTGGTTTAGTGAAGGAATGACATCCCTCTTTACTTGCAAGTCAGCTCTTCAGGTGCAGACTGCAAAAAGAATGGAGATAGGAGTGCTTTTGGTGATTTGAAAGGAAAAAAAAACCAAACTAACTGAAATCTAGAAAATGAACCTCTTTTTGGGTATAGTTATCCCAGTGAAATGGGAAGTAAAATGGGTGAAGGTGTTAGCAGAAGTGTTGTGCAGAAGCACTTAGCAGAAGTGTTGTGGGATGACTTTGCACCTGGATCCCTTCTGCTGCCTTACAGCTGGTGGTGCCGCTGCCTTTCTCATGCAGGGACATGAGATCCCAAACTCCCTGAGCAAGATGCTTTGTGGAGTGGTCAGGCATGAAGCATGGAAAGAAGGAAAAACGAGATTGACTTGGGGAGAGAAAGTGTGACAGCTCCTCTTCAAATGTGACAGAAAGGGGCCAGGCGCATATAGCCACATTTATTTCAACTCTTTCGCTGGCTGGAATGAGAAGGATTTCTCCTGAATGTGCTGCATTTCCTTTTTTTTTTTTCTTTTATAACCTACCCTATGAATAAGGCTTTGGTCATTTTAAAAGCTGACATGCTAATAAAAGGCTATTAAATCCTGCCACTTCCTCTACAGAGGAGGAATAAGTCAAGACAGACATGACCAACGAGAGGGAAAGAAGGCTCCAAATGTGATGGTTTATTAAGCATTTCACCCTTGGTGTATTTAATATGTATGAGACTACTGTTGCTTTCCTACTAATGCTCTTTCAGATCACAGTGACAATGGAAAGGAGCCCTAAAGTGGAGCAGAGTGCATCCCATGTGAATGACATTGCCAGGGATACTTCTGGTCATAGCAGTGTGAAGGGAAGGACTGGGGAGTTTTCAAGCCACAGCTAACAGCACAAAGTTTGTGTTGGTTTGGGTAAGTGGGTCTGACTCTGCATCTCTTCTTTGTGCTCTGGTCACCTGAAAAAGAAATGATTTTGGCCAGGACCTACACACTCGTAAGCACAGTGTGTGTCAGAAGCTGGGGCTAGCTTGTAGGTCCCTCACCCTATTTCTTAGGGTCAGGAAACAATTTTCTCATTTGACCCCCTCTTCCTCCCACTGCTATCCCACACTTATCTATGATCAGACTTTTTTTTCCTTTGCTTCTGGCACAGTGCTTAGCAGATATTTCCTACCAGCCCTGGCCAAGCGATAACGCTGACCAGAAGAGGAGGCAGACCAATTTTCCAACTAACAAAGATAAATTTAAATTAAATTATGCTGGACTGTCCTGCTACAACACCAAATATGCCTCCCTGAACTCAGCCTTGCAGATTATTGGGAATAAACACAAGGTTGCCCAGAGCTGGTAACCCCACTGAAAAGGTTTTGTGACCCCATTTCAGGTTGAAAACCTCTTTTTGAGAAATGCTGAGCCCTCAGAAAGAAGAAAAAGCAAACTTGCTCATAGTAGGCTGAAGTGAAGCTTTGCTTAGGAAGACCAGAGCTTTTCCTGAAGTTACATAAACACAAAGTTTGGATGAGTGAAGCCAATTGCCTCCGCTTCATCCTCCTCAATAAAGGCCTTGTGGAAGAGGTTGGGAAGGAGCCCATCCAATCTCAGGGTCACTGTCAGCACATCATGATTGTAAAAGAAAGTAAGTGTGGAAATGTTCCACGCCATCAGTTGAAGGATGCTCTTAGGGACAGCAGGAACTCCTTTTGCTCCCATCTCCTGCCTTGCTCTCTCCACCATCTCTCAGCTTTCAGCCACTGGGTTCAGCTGATGCAGAGCAGGATCTCGGGATGGCCGCTCTCCTCCCTATCCCCGCATCATCATCTCGGTGTGTTTTCAGTTAGCTGAAGCCTTTTTAATAGATGTGGCTGAATTATTCATCATGCACAAATTAGTTGATGGGCACTGTCCTTCTGTGAGTTGTTTATCATGCTGTTTTTTTTTCTTTCACATGGGCCATTAACTGGTTAGAGATTTTGGCCAGAACTTGGCAGTTTCCAGCCACTTGCTCAGACTGATTTTCCAAGGCCTTGGTGGTCTGTTTGGGAAATTTTCTTTCTCCCATGGGGCAGTTTTTGCTCTCAGTGGCTTTATGGCACATAGCAAGTGCTCTCCTTGCTGGTTTCAAGCTGGAATAGGCATTGCAAATTGAATGATTTCTTGCTTTTTACTTCAGAGAATAAAACTTTGCAAGTGGCTGGGGTGCAGCCGAGGGGACAGGAACTTTAACTTCATGTGGCCCTATGAAGGACCTTGTCTGTGCTCTTGGGGCCTCTTATGGATTGCTGGTGTGAAACAAACTTGTTAATTCCATAGCTCTGAATGTGTCAGCTTCAAACAGCCAATAGGGTGTTAAAAGAATCACGTGCACATCTTTGCTCTTTCTTATCTCTAAGTATTCAAAAATCTCTTGAAAATGTAATTCCCAGACATTGTCATTGCCTCCTTCTATCCCTTCAAGTTCTCTTCCCTCATTTTCCCACCTGGGGGCTCTACCCACATGTCTGCAGTCCCTCCCATCCTCTTGTGCCGTGGGGTTTTGGAGGTGTCCCTGCAAAACCTCCCCAAAGGCTGTTGTTGAACTCATATCTGTGTGAAGGTGTAGTTGCTGTAATGCCTGCTGTAAAGGTGCTCTAGTTTGGGGCTTTTGCTGATATCCCAGGATCTCTGTTTGCAGGAGCTGCAGAGCACCCATTTCTCCTGTGCTGCTTTGCAGGGCTTAGTTCCCAGCATGCATGCACAGAGCTGCTTCCAGCCTCAGTATCTCCTCCTCTCCCTCTGCCATGAACCTCTTAGGTTAATTTTTTTCTGCCTTCTTTTGTTGGTGGTGTTTTTTCCCACTAAATTAGCTTGTTGTTGCACCGCCCATACTTGCTAAAGGTCACAAAATAAATACTGTGCCACTGTCTCATGTATCAAAGCTGCTTCCTACATTAGCTTTTCAAGTGTCTTCAGATCGTTAGAACTGTCTCCTTGTTCTTTACTTTTGGTGATCAAAGCATCATTTAAAAATCACATGCAGAATGTGCTTCATCTCCCCCAGCAGTTCCTGTGTTCTTGGAGAACGTTTCCTTCTCTCTGATTTCTCTGGATCAGCTCAGGAGGGAAATGGTTAAATGCTTTATAAGAGGGAGGAAAACAGTAAAATGGGCCTTATTTGTTCTGTAATGAGACTCCAGGTACCAAGGCGAAGAGTTACTGACTGTCAGTGAGCGCAGCAAATAGGAAACTGTCTTATACACTGTTCTATAAGGCTGAAAGGTCATAAAAAGGATTTAGCACTATCGCAGGAGACAACTTTGTTTAAACAGTGTCATTAGTCTCTTCGTAGCTCTTTTTATAGTGCTTTCTGCTGTGTTTCGTTGCTCTCTTTTATTTATTTTTTTTTTCCCCCTCTCTCCTTTTTCAGTGTGGAAGTCGGTGCAATCTCCTCAAAGCCACCTGGTGCCGAGGTGGGCTGAATGCTGCATGAAGTGGGGTCTTGGGGGGAGGGGGATTGGGAAAATGGGCTGTAAGGAACTGGAGGTGATGGGATGGCAGCTGAGGAATGGCCCTCTGATTTTGTGTTGTGTGTTTCAGAGGTAAAAATCCCAAGGTTTGTGATTGGGAGAGACCATCCTGGTGCTTGCATCTCATGTGAGCATGGACAGGCAGAGATCATTGGGGTCACATGCGTTTTCCTCATCTATAGTGGCAAGAATGGTGCTACGAGGGGTGGGAAGTGCAGGGATGGCTAAAGAGTGCTCAACTATGTGAAAAAAAAAAAACAATTCATGTTTGAAGCAGACCTTAGTATAGGAAATGGGAGAGCTTGTGCACATAGACCCTGAAAGGGCAGGAGATGGCAGAAAAAAAAAATAAATCTGTGGAAAGACTTTGCCAACAGATATGTCATTCAGGAGTGGTTCCTATAACCAAAGAATGGCAAACAGTACTCTTTATGAAAGGAGGAGGAAAAGCAATCCAGGCAGCGAGTGGCTTTTCACAGTCTGCAAAGCTTTAGACAAATTGTGAAGGAAAGAATAATGGGATGAAAATAGGACCAGGTCCAATCCAGTCTTAAAAAGGCACATTGAACCTGCTTGCCTTGATATTTTTTGTTGGTAGGAGAACTGGTTCCCTCCACAAAAAAAAAAAAATGCATTTCTTCTTTGGCTGGCTTTTGGTTAAGTGATGTTTTGGGGATGTTTCAGTGGATGAAAAGAAATGAATCATCTGTGCTAAAAGACAATGCTGGTGCATGAAGAAGTACTAATATACAATAAAAATAATAATAAAAAAAAAAACCTGGGAAATGGGTTCTTAGCAGTTGGAAGAGAGGCTTTTGCTGGGTTTGAGAAGGGCTGAGGGATGCTTCAGCCACAGCAAATGCTGGAGCAGCAGCACGAGACTGCCTTGTCCCCATAGGCACCACTGATGCAAGGCCCAGAATGAAAGGGATGGAGAAGGAGGGTTTAGCAGGATTAGTGATGCAAAACTTGCTGAATTTGCCTGGGTTTTCATTCAAACCAAATCTAAGCACGCAGATATTCATAGTGCACAGTCAAGGTGGTGAGCATGGCTGACATGACCTTGGCGGAGCCCAGCTGATGTGCCATCCTTCCCCAGTACTGCCTGCGGAGACGCGGCACAGCCATGAGCATTTTCTTCTCATCTGTGCCTTGCATTAACAAATGGAAGGGACCAATAAGGATCATTGAGTCCATCTTGGGAGGATATATTGACTATAATTCAGTTCCCATTTATCTCTGGGACGTGGTTGCGTTAGGAGAGTGTTCGTTTGGCAAGAGCAGATGATGCACTGCAGGGATGCTGGGGCTCCAGCAGGATCCATCCTGGTCCAAAGAGCGTAAGAAAGGCAAAAAGTGCAGCAGGAAACTCCCTTTGCTCTCGCTGCTGCTGCTGCTTTTTCTCTCGTGCCACATCTGACCCTCCTTCTGCAAAAAAGTAGAGAAGACCCGGGTCCCTCCTGCCCTTTCCTGTGGGGTTTTGCTGTGCTCCTGGAAAAAGAGGCCACCAGCAGAGGGCACACAATATATGGAGATGGAGATTCCATAAAGTCCTGCGAGCAGCGGCCTCCAGGCACTCCTCAGCACATTTTTTCCAAAAGGGGAGAAATCGAGGCATGGAGAGAAGTGGCCCCTCCAAAGTTGGAGACAGTTGGAACACAATGTGTGTCCTGCAATGCAGAGCTCTGATATTCATTGCTCTACACAAGGAAGCTTTGATTTGGTTTCACTTCTTCCCCTCAGACTCTGTTTTTGGTGTTTGGGTGTACTTTTATTTTTCTCCTTCTGCCTGACTGAGGCACTGAGGATCTGTATTGAGGCATTTAAAGTCCAAAAGCCCCAAATCCGGCAGGGCTGGTTTGGGTGCTCATTGTCCTGGGTGCAGAGATGGCTCCAATCAAAAACATTTCAACCTTCATGAATGAAAATTTCTTTCAACTACTTCCAGGTCCTTTGGGTTTCCAAATACTAAGTCAGCTGCAAATGTTGTTTGAAAATGCTTAGCAAGGTGGAGTCCATTGGCATCAATCAGTCACTGAAGACGACCAGCTTGTTTTCTTGCTCTTCTTTCATATTCCTTCCCAGCAAAGCTCTGGAGGTGTCATTAAGAGCAGTGAGCTCTTTGGAGGCAGCCTAACGGCTGCTGAGCAGGTCAGTTCTGCATCATTAATTTGCTTCTCAGCTTCTCTCCCTGCCACAAACTGAGGGCAGTGAGTGGCTCCTCAGCAGAGAAAGTACCTACTGGGGGTTCTGCTACGACCCCCAAAAAGCCCTGCACCAAAGCAGGATGATGTGCCTACATAGAGGGATGTACTCAGCATCACGTTGCCTGTGTGGATGGAAACCTCTGGGTTGACTGACAAGCCAAGCACCCACCTCCTGGCCCAGAAGCATCTCCAGTGATGGGACCTTCTCACCAGCTGCTTGGTGGCACTGGGGCAGGATGCAACAAGGCAGCAGCGCAAGGAGAGAAGGGAGGAGCAACAGTGACACATGTACCAGGTACAGAGCCCAAAACATAACACAAATGAATCTGTGGTGGGTTCTGAGCCCTGTATCCTCCATCTGTGGTCAGTTCGGGAATTTGGGAGCATCAAAGTGGTTGTGCTAAGTCAGCAATTGGCTCTCTGGCAGCGTTAGTGCAATAAATTGCTGTTATTAATGTCTGTTTGTTTATTTATCCCCCCAGAATTTCTCAGTGGGGCCTAGTTTTCCTTCTTGTCCTAGCATAGCCCCTCTACATTATTAAAAAGAAACATCCTATTAAATAATCTCAGAAAATAACCCTGAAAATTGCACCTCAGCCTTAAAATGGAGGGCTGAAAACATCCCTGGGAGCTCTTCATACATGTCACCTGAAAATAATAATTCTAATTAGCTTCCATGCCTGCCCTTGGGTCCAGGCTAATAAATCCTAATGAACAATCGCTGATTTGAAGTATATTCTTCTGAGTTATTTAAGACAATAAGTGTGCC